ACTCCAATGCAAGAAAGGAGAGAGTGAAGCCCGTGATAACAGCGCTGCTAGTTTTTTCTTGCCAATGCAACAAATTACCACACATCTAGTGACTTACCTCAAGTTTGCTATCTCATAGTTTTTCCAGATCTGAGGTCTAGATACAGCATGGCTTAGTTAGTTTCTGCTTAGAGTCTCACAGGACTAAAATCAAGATGTTAGCAGGATGGTTCCTTTCTGGAAGCTCTGAGGAGGAATCTGCTTCCAAGCTTACTCAGGTTGTTGGCTAAATTCCGTTCCACAGAGTTGTAGGATGGAGGTCCTGTTTCCTTGGAGTCAGACTCAATTTCCTGAAGCCACCTCAGTCCCTGGCTCAAGGCTCCCTTCCCTCCCGCTCAAAGCCAACAGCAGGTCAGTATTTTCCATGCTTACCCCTCAACCCCACCCCACCACATCTGACTAGCTTTTCTCTCATCCTCTTCTGATTTTAAGGGTTCATGTGATTGCATTGAACCTTTCAGAATAGCCGCCCTATTTTAAGGTCAGCTGATTAGTAACTTTAATAACATCTACAAAGTCCCCCACAATAGTACTTAGTGTTTGTATGGTTAATGGATGGGTATCTTAGGCAATATTTAGAATTCTGCCTTCCACAACAGCAAAGGGAAACTTCCAGATAATAGCAAGGCTAGGGTCTAACCAAACCAGACTGGAGTGGGCCAACTGAGGAATATAAAAGGAATGGTTATAGTTAGGCACATGGAAAATATTACTGGTAGGCGTGATACATTGATGTTAGAGCATTTGGATAGACTTAGTAAGAGGATCATGAAAAGATATGAAAAAATAGCATGCTTATTATACTAGGGGGAAATGAGAATTTAAAATGAAAGAAGGCTCAATCCTCATGATTCCCTTTGGTTTGGCAGCAAGCAATCTTTGCATAGTCATAATAATGCAAATACTGAGTACTGATTTAACAGCAATTATCAAAATAGTTTGGTGTATCTGGTCATGGTGGATCGTAGGTGTCTTTAGCCCTGACAGAGGGAGAGAGTAAGACTAGGCAAGTCTGGGTTAAGTTAACCCTGAATTATAGTTTTGGACAAAACATTTCTCAAATGCTCAACAGGTCTATGTGCAGAGCTAAGTAGAATCTGACCCCAAAATTAAGGCAACAAAGAAGATAGACACAATATGAAGTCTTTTCATGCTGTACCAGTCATCCATTGGATATCCATAAGTCCAAGTGAAGAGAAAAGCAGCCCTCAGGTCCCTGAAGAGTACTGAGGCAACATTATCATCATAACCCATGTGTCAGAGGTGTCATCTACATCAAAGCTTATCAGAGTACTAATAATGTATTCCTCAGCTATGTGACCTCCAAAATTAGTGATTTTTAAGTCAATCAGGAACAACTGAAGCTAAAGTGTTTACTTAGTTTTTACCCTTTGTAACATTTTGCCTCTATCCCAAAGCCTATATGTAGTCACAGAACTTCCAGCAGAAAGAGCTGAACTGACTTGCCCTTTAGAATGATCAGTTATCAGAATCTCCTACTCTGAATGACATTCAGTCTCTCACAACTGTGAATTTCCCTTTTATATTTCAGAATACTAGGCAGTGTTTTCCTGGCCTCAATTGAAGAAGGGCCATCCATCCATCAGACTCAAGCTTTTAACTCCTGGTTCTCAGGACCAACTTTAATAGATGCTTCTCTTTAAGGCAGACTGTACCATTATTGTACACCTCTAGCTATATCAAACTATGAAAAAACAAATCCTAGAGAAATCCAGTGCTTTTTTTTTTCAATATTTATTTTTTATTTATTTTTACGTGATGCTGAGTATCGAACCCAGGGCCTTGCACGTGCTAGGCGAGCACTCTGTGCTGAGCCACAACCCCAGCCCCAATCTAGTACTTTTGATAAATTTAGTTCAAGTGTAATCCCATTGTCAAATCCTCCAAGGACCAGTCTATTTAGGCCATTCTAGGCCTTTCTGGGCCCCAGGATATATTAACAGACATTAGTTCATATCATCAAAACCTCAGCTGATCCTTGTTAGCACAAATGCTGATTTTCTGGAACCTCTTGGCACCTTCATTCTCAGTGGCAGTGCCAACAAAGTCAAGGGCTGCCTCTGTCTTGTGGCCAAGAATCAGCTTTTAGGCCACAGTGAGTCTCTATCTGCCTGCCCCCACCCCCAACCACCTCTCTCCTCTCTCTCTCTCTCTCTCTCTCTCTCTCTCTCTCTCTCTCTCTCTCTGCTCTTAGCTAGAGGTTACCCTGTGATCATAACCTCTCTTAGGAATTTTCTCTCCCTAATCTGTTATGCCTGACATTTTTCTCTATAAGGACACCCATTCTGAACTGCAGGCATTTTCACTTTCACAAACTGCTTCATGAAATCACTGAGGTTCATGTCACCAGCAATTAAGAGTGACATTAGGTGAAAAATTAATTTAGCTTCTTGCCTTTAGCATGCAACCATGTAATAACAGTGAAAACAAGAATCCAGAAATTCTAAAATTTTCATCCAGCATTTACCCAATGAATATTTTACTATTTCAAAGCATGGAAGGCAAGTAAGAAATATTGCTGCCCGTTGTTCTGAAATACAGTTTCACAGTTTATCTTGAAATGGTATGCATTTCTTTAAGATGCATTGAGAGTCTTTAGAGAATTCATTATCTTTACCTGTGCAATTTAAAAAGCCAAATGGTGATCTGTTTCATGATGTCTCCGGTGTGACATCCCTGAAATGAGGACAGATTATTTCTATAACTCTCACTCCCTGCAGTTTCCTGGTCTATCTCTATTTTATAATCTTCTCTAATAAGGTAAAAATGTGCTCATTATCAGCTCATCAGGAAAACACCATGAGCTGACCAGGGTCTTTTTAAAAGCGTGTTTTTTTTCCATTCGTGATACTGGACTCCATTAGGAAGTTGGGAACAAAGCACAAGGGACATGTTGTCTTTGGTAAAAGCTCACCAGCAGCCTTTCATTGCAGCATTAATAATCCCAGTGAAACTGTCTCAAACTAAGAAACATGGGATTGTTAGCACACTAAAATGAACCTTCTTCTTAGAAATGAACACTCATTAGCCAATGTCTGACATTCATTGTCCAATGTACAAACATGTCTCCCCATTTACAGTATTTCCCTATAAGTGTTTGAAACAGCCATTACTTTCTTTTTCTTCCCCTTCAATTTCTCGAATTTCTTTAATCCAGGTCATTTACAAAGCTTTCTTTCTAGAAATTCCTATGACAAATAGTTCATTTCCATATAAACTTCATAGGCAATGAAAACGGTCAGTGTCTACAAATATTTTTGTATTATGTCATGAACGTGCTCTACTCCATTTGGAGGCACCTTTCAAGAAACACCAGTCAGGAGCCAGCTCTTCTATGGGTGGGTAGTTCTGCATATTGACCCCTCTTTCCAGTTGCAACAGCTCTTTCAGTCATTGTGACAAACCAAAAATGCCAGCATAGTAAAGGGGATCAGACTATGTCACCCCCAAACGTGTCATCCTGGCACTCATTTCTTAAAGCTTTTGTTCTATAGGTGACTCACACTAGAATAGGAAAGTCTGGGATGCTCAGTAAGCATTGTTGAAGGCCAAGACAACCCATAACAAAAGCTACAATAACAATGTTGTTAGCTTTCCCTGGTTGTAACAAATACTTGTGATACACTTCCTATCAATTCCAGAATCTTCTGTCATTCCTATTCACTACTTTTTAAAGCTTATAGCATTTCAATCTGCCCTATTCCTTATTTCATTACTGCAGTGAAATATTTTGCTAATGGATACAAACTCAGTGGGAGGGAATTGTTCATTTTACACAGTAGGCATTAGGGAATGAAGATTCTGTGGTGTATCACATACCATCCCGAAACAAATATAGTATCATACCCACAATTAAGACCCCAAGTCACCTAAATTTTATAGACCTGGTTGGGAAAACCAGATTCCTACAGAAAGAAGGAAAGAACATGAACATAAAACCCTAAAGAGTATTTAAAAATCCAAGATGGAGAACATAGTCACAAAAATAAAGGAGCTTTAAGTGCTGACATTTCAGAGCTATTTAGCCTTAAGTAAGAAATGTCACATCTCTGATCAGATACAAAGAAGGAACACAAACAAATTTTAAAATTTTCTACTTTTTGGTATGACTTATTCTTTTACAATATTAGGCCTTTGTACTTTTTATATCAGGTTTTAGTAACATGCCTTTCCCCATCCCAAGTACGCATTATGTTACCAGTAAATTCTATTCTAGTGCTCCCAGCCAGATAGAATGGGAATGCCCAGTCCTTTCTGATCCATTAACCCTTGACTGACAGACACATTGAGACAGGACGGCACAGGAGTTTCTAACCACAAAGGAAGTTCCGCTGCTCCAAAGTTTACAAGGAAATATAAAAAAGCAAGTAGTCCCCTAGAAACGCAGATGCCTCATGAAGTCTTCTCTCAAACAGAGCTGAATACAGTTAAGAATTAGTCATAGGATTTTAAAAAAAAAAAAAGTGTTGCTGGACTGGAAGAAAATATAATGTATCTGACAAATGCAAATTAAAATCACAGTGAGATATCAATAGCCTTTAAAGCAGCTCCACTTTTTAATTTCTAAAAGTTAATACCAAGCATTGGTAAGGATTCAAAACAACTGATATCCTCAAACATTGCAGGTGGAAAATGGTATGCCCACTTTGGAAAACAGTTGGACATTTCTTTTATAAACATACTTTTACAATAAGATCCCACTCATTCCTATATATTTACCCAAGAAAATTAATGTTTACACAAAAACCTAAAGGCAAATGTTTATAGCTTTATTCACTCTCAAAAGCTGGAAATAACCCAAATGCTCAATTGGGGAATGAAGAGATTATTATATACATTTGATATAATGAAATGAACTCAGGAACAAACTACTGGTACACCCAAGTGGACGAATCTCAAATGCATTATGCTAAATTAAAGAAGCCAGATACAAAAGGATATAGACTGTATGACTAAATTTATTTGATATCCAATTTATATAACATTCACAACATATACATTGTGAAATGACATTCTGGAGGAAGCAAAACTAGTAGAGACAATAAGTAGATCAGTGGTTCCAGTGCTAGGATTGGTGGGAGTTGAACACAAAGGAGTGGCATGAGGATTTTTTGTTGTTCTTTGTGAAGGTGATTATATGCATTTATTACAACTCACAGTGAATGTACACTAAAAGGGGTGAATTTTGCTGGAAAAAAGCTCATAAAATAAAAGTCACACAGAACAAATTTTAACTCACTCAACTGATAAGAAAAATCTCACAGTGGGCAAGTGATTATCTGAATTAGAGTAGCAGGATAAGAACAAAACTCCTGACTCCCAGGTTTTTTTACCCTCTCAGTACAAAATGTGCCACATTAATTTTCTATTGCTGCCATAATAAATCACAAGTATAGCTGCAAAACATTCAATTATTGTCTCACAATTCTGCAGGTCAGAAGACTGACACAGGCTGCTAGATTCTCTGTTCAGGGTCTCGTGAGGCACAAGTGAAGATGTTGGCTGGCCTGGGCTCTTTTTTATCTGAAATCTTTAGGGGAAAATCCATTTCCAAGACCATTAAAGTGCCTGGCAGAATCCAGTTCCATACAGTTGAGGGCCACAGGTTGTTTCTGTGCTGGCCATTATTCTCAACTTCTAAAGGTGCTCACATTTCTTGGCTTATGGCCCCCTGTATCTTCAAAGCCAGCAAAGCAACAACAGGTCACGTTCTTTTCTATTCTCAGCCAGAAGAAACTGCTTAAGGGATCACATGATTAAGCCTGCCCAGACAATTCAGGATAATCTATTTTAAAATCAACTGATTAATAATCTTAGTTATATCTGCAACATCCTTTTTGCCCTGTAACATAACATTTCAGGCATGGCACCAGGGAAGGGGGGCATGAAGGTAATGGGGGCCAAGACTTTGCCTACCATGTACATTTTACACAAGGACCTAGTACACAAACACACATGCAACGAAAATTAAAATACTTAGTTACTTACTAAATTCAACACCTGATGCTAATTTTAAATGAACAAATAACATTGTTTTTAATTACATATGATGTTTTGAAGTACGTGACATGGTTAAATCTAGCTAATTTTAAAATGCATTTCTTACTTTTTGGTGATAGCATCTAACATCTTGTCTATATTTTTCAATATGGTATGTCAACATTACAATCAGTCAGTCAGTAACCTTGCTATATTAAAAAATGCTGGTGGCAACACACTATATTGATTTCATGTCCCACTATTGAGCTGCAACCTATATTTTAATTTACCTTGAGAAAAGGTCAGCATGCCCTTGTAAACTCCCATTTACCATAATAAGAGGCATACAGACAGGCCTCCAAGGTCTATAAAACATCCAAAATTATATGCAAAGTTATGGAGCTAACTAATGACAAGACAGATAGATAAACCCAGGCAGGGGCACAATCTAGGATACTTGGCCAGAATTAGTCAAGAATGTCAAAGCAGTAAAAAAAAAAAAAAATGAGAAAAGACCAGACACTGTCAGAAACCAGTCAGTAGGAAACATGACAAGTAAATGCAATATAGTATCTTGGTTTGGATCTTGGAATGGGAAAATTAGTGAAATCCTAAAAACTATGAGTACAGTTAATAGTGACCCATAAATGCCATTTCTTAACAAATGTACCTAGTAACCTTAAGATGCTAGCAATGGGGGAACTAGGTATGGGATGTGCAAGAACTTTCTGGGAATCATCTTATTCTGAAATGAAGTTTATTTTTTTTTTTTTAATGCTATTGGACTGAGCATCTCATCGTTACTCTAGGGGGAAGATCCTGTGGACTTTGTATCTTTTTTTTTTTTTTTTTTTTTTTTTAGTACTGGGGATTGAACCCAGGGACACTTAACCACTGAGCCACATCCCCAGCCCTTTTCATATTTTATTTTGGGCTTGCCAAGGTTCTCAGGACCTCACTAAATTGCTGAGGCTAGCTTTGAACTTGTGATCCTCCTGCCTCAGTTTCTCCATCAAAGGGATTACAGACATGCACCACCACACCCAGCCCTGGACTTTGTATCTTAAAAGTGGTCCACAACCAAAAATACTTAAGAACTGCTCTCCAAGGTTTCTTGCTGCTTCCCTTAATCACTGCTTTCTAGTCCTCTGCCTGCTTCCTATGTCACTCACACTTTTTCACAAAAATAAAAAATTTAGCCAGTGACCGAGGGAGACAGAAAAGAGGAGTTACTGTTTAATGGGTATCTAATGGGTATCAAGTTTCAGTTTACTTTTTTCACTTTTTAATCTCAGCCGTTATTAAGAATTGGAAACAGAATCTAAGAATACAAGCTACACAATTTAAAGGAATTTAAACACCCACTATGTTAATATCTTTCTAAGGGAAAGTTCTACATTTGCAAAAAATAAATAAAACCTTCACCATACTGTTTCCCCTGTTTCTCCCCACCCAAAGTGTCAGCAATTCTGGAGGATGGTGGTAAGGGTATTACAACACTATATTTAATGCCACTGAGCTAAATACATTTAAAAATGGTTAAAACAGTAAAATTTATATTATATATACTTTACCACAATTTTTATAAAAGGTACTGATACATGGACAAATCTTAAAAAAAAAATAAACAAAAACAATCTACATGAACAATAATGTAGCTATCATACTAATGAACTAATATAACCTATTGGTATAAATAAACATGACCGCTTGAAAGAAAAAAAAGGAAAAAAATATCTACATGAAAAATGCCATACACAAAAGCACAAGAGCCTTCATATTATGTGATTCCATTCATTTGAAAATGTTCAAAAATTCATTGGTGATAGTTGCGCATCATCTGTGACTATATTAAAAACCAATGAATTATGCACTTTGGTGAACTGTTTATGAATTATTTCTCAATATAAAAATTTAACTCGTTTTCAATCTATGACTACTAAAGAAAAATACTATTCTATAAATTCTGGAACCACATTATGGTGCCACAGTGAACAAAGAACAAAAATAATGAAAGGACTGTGGTTTAAAATGGCTGGCAGGGAAGATCAGGAAGGTCTGTACCAGGGCATGGTGGCTTTCCAATCACAGGGCAAGAACAAAGGCAAGATCATGGAACACACTAGAATGAAGCTGATCAAAGACCTTTATTCTGGTCCTCATCATTCATTAAGCCACCTATGCAAACAATTTCTTCATCTCTGCCCCAAGCAGCAACAGCTGCATCCAGGGCTAAAATGGAAGACAGACATAAGTAGTGGAAGACCTTATAAAGAAAAGTTATCAGGTAAGAGCTCTGCTTATCCCGGCTTAAGTAAAGGTAGAGCAGGAAGATGTGCATATGTGCAGAGATTCTGTTCTTCAAAGCTGAGGCCTGCAGAGAGGCAAGCTGAAGAATGCAGTGAAGGCTCAAAAACTGTCCAGTTCAGCAATCAATCCAAAGTACCTAAAAATACAAAGAGCAATATGTAAAGCAAGGTACCTCGAAAGCGGGATTAGTGTAACAAACTGAGCAAAGTTAAAATAGAAAGGATGTTGATATAAGCAGCAATTCTAATTTTGAAGAATATCTATCCAAAAGCTCCTTGGGGAAAAATATGATATTAAAGAGGGTGGGCAGTTGGAAATTAAGCATACCAATCTAGAGAATTAGAATTAGGTAGGTAAGGTTTAAGAAATTGTTGTGTAACTAAACATACAGGAAAACCATACAAGGAGTAAGTGACATAAAATAAATGATATAAGCTAAAAGAGTTTATAATCTTTTAAACAGTTCCAGCTTAAGATGTAGGACCGAGCCCATAAATTCATATGCGCTGCCACCCAAAATTACATTCAAAAGGAAAAAAAGGTTTAAAAAAGGTATAAATCTACAATAAGGAATAGGGGCCTATGGGCAGTTAACAGATTCCAACAACAACAACAACAACAAAAAAAGTGAATTATCAAAATCTGCCTGAAGCAAGTTTATAAATAGAGTAGAGAAAAATGAACCCAGAAGGAACACAGAGGGGGCTGCAGCTGAAGAGGAAGCCCATCTGCCTAGAACCATAGGGAGGATCTAGACTCAGTCACCAAGAATTATAAAAGAACAGAGAGGAAAATGAGACAATGACCCATGTTTCTCTATCACAAACTATTGCCCCCACATGTCTCTCATAACTTTTTCTATATGGTGAAGACATTTACACTTAACTTGAATGGGAGAATCACAGGGCTCTCTTTAAGAGCCAGACAGACCATCAGGAGACACTAGAGCTCCTCTAACAACACTGCTCCCACAACAGAGCATTCTGTATACTGGCCTTTGGAAGCCCCAGGTTAACATCTGACCACAACCCTGCTCATCCTAAAGCAAAGCTGCCAGGCAAAAACTATCCCCACTACACTACAAACAGCTTCCAGTCTCCACATTCTCTCATTCTTAAAAAGAATAAACATCACTGAGAATTTAAAGAAATCCTACACAAATAAAAGAGACCAAAATTTATTTTAAAAGTTCTAGCATAAAACAGATAACTCAAGGCAAAGAACATAGTAAAAACAAGCCAGAAACACCTCTAATTTAAAAAAGATAATAGCCTGCTTTTGACAATGACAATATCTTGCTGAGACCAACTAATAAAGCTAAAATATATAAATATAAATATGTGCATGTATATACGTAACAAGTGTGTGTGTGTGTGTGTGTGTGTATAAATGAGAGAAGATCTTTAAGACATTAAAAAAAATCAAGAAATGGCAAATCTAAAATCTTGAAAAGGCAGGGAACCAATCAACAGTCAAACCCCAAAGTCTGCCTGAGTGAGGAGGACTGGTAACCCATCCTTTTTTAAGCTAGAGTCCCATAATGTTATACCCTCACAGTAACCAAAATTAAATCAGACTCCTCACAGACCTGTAGCCCAGAGGTTACATCACCACTATGATGCAGGAATCTTCCAGTCTTAGATCTCATTAAGGAGGTACTGTACTGATAATGTTCCTAGGTGTCTTGCTGGAGCAAAGAAAAATTTTCTTTGGAGAAAGATATCACCATAAAATCTCAAATTATCAACAAATAATTTTTTCCAGTGCAATGACCACTATGTAAAGACAGTACCAAAAGAAAGAACAGATAAAAAGACAAACTCAAAAAGTCTACATATTGGATTGGACATACTACAAAGTAAGAACTTCAAAAGGCTTTGGATATTAGATGGAATATTACACATGACATACTCTATAATAAACAACTACATTCACCACTTAAATAAATGAAAGACAAGTTTCAGAGTATCCACAGAAAATCAACAAAGAGGTTTAAAGGAAATGAAAAGAAGTGAAGACAGAACCGAAAATTCCAAAACAAAAAATTACACAGAACATATCATACAAAGGCAAAATTAGGGTTGGGCTTTTATGTATATTTAGTGAAAATCCCAGAAAAAGTGCAGAGAAAGAACAAAGCAGAGTCAATGTCTAGAGAAACTGGCTGAGAATTTCCCAGAGCATATCCATACTTCTATCCATCAGAGTGAAATCTCAGAAAATCAAAGGCAAAGAGAAAATCTTTTTTTTTTTTTTTTTTTTTTTTAGAGAGAGATGAGAGAGAGAATTTTTAATATTTATTTTTTAGTTTTCGGCGGACACAACATCTTTGTTTGTATGTGGTGCTGAGGATCGAACCTGGGCCGCACACACACAAGGCAAGCGCAATACCGCTTGAGCCACATCCTCAGCCCGAGAAAATCTGAAAAAGGGATAAACTACCTTCAAAAGACAGACTGTGATTTCTCAACAGAAACAATGGAAGCCAAAAAATGGTAGAAGGACAGCTAGAATTCTAAATTTAGCAGTAAAATCTTTTTGTACTTCCATTTCCCCCTCAAAAAAAAAAAAGAAAAAAGAAAGTTGAGAGTCAGCTCCCAGTTACCTATACCAAAGAAAGCTCTAAAGGACTTATTTGGGGGAAAAGGATTACAAATGGAGGATAAGAAATACAAAAAGATCAAAAATTGTAGTAAACATGAATAAACTCATATATTATCTGTATCATATATCAATAACAATGTCTGATGTGGGCTGATAAAGACACATGGCAATAACAGCATGTTAAGTTGAGGGATGAGGGCTTATAAATGGCATTAATGGATTCTAAGATTCCATTTTGCTGAGGATGAGGGAAAAGGTTCTAACTTTTGGCTTTGATAAATTAAGCATGCATATAGTAATTAATGGATTAATCCTAAAAGGATAGATATATACAATTTCCCAACAGATGGAAGGGAGGAAAAAAAAGGGAATAATAATACAAAAGGCAGCATAAAATAGGACAAATGAAAAGCAGGTAAAATAAGATGGGAGATTTAAGTCTACTGTTATCACTAATTAAATTAGGCATAAATGAACTAAGTGCTCCAGTTAAAGGCAAAGATTGTCAGTAAGAATTTAATATCCCCAATTATACAGCGCTTACAAAGATATGGAAATGTAAAGACAAAAAGATGGGGAAAAAAACACATAAACACTAAAGAAAGCTGACAAACTTTAATAACATGAGACGAAATAGACTTTAAGGCAAAAAACATTACTAGAAGTAACAATGGTAAATTTTTAAATATTAAAGATTCTATCACGAGCAATATATAATTATTTTAAATTTGTATATTCCTAATTCCAGTCTTAAATCTATAATGAAAAATAGATCAGAACCATAAGTGAAAATATTCTTCAGTCATAGGAGACATTAATACACAACTCTCATTAATTGATACAGTAAGCAGACAAAAGAAATTCAGTACGAATATAGAAAATATAAACTATGCAATGAGACTTGACATTGCACCCAACAACTGGAGAATACACTTTTTCTTCATACGAACCCACACACAGAATACACCTACATACTGGATTATAGAGCAACAAACGAAACTAAGAGAAATTATTTTTAAGAAAAATAGGTTGAAAAAGAGGCTGAACAAAGATCTATAAATTAAAGATTACTTAAGATCTAGGCTTGAAGCTGGCCATGGAAAGGTATCTTCAAAGACATTTAAAAGACTACAACACAGGCCTAGTGTGATATGGAGATGCAGAACACAGAATAAAAAGAATGAAATAAATGAAGAAAAGATTTCAGAAAGTAATGAAGCTTAAAGGAGGTAATGAGAACACCTTGTTAGGGTGAAAGTGAGAATGAATTGAGGGCACATGGATTCTGAAAAGCTATTCAATCAGAATACACGGATTGAAGAGTAAGACTTAGGAATTCAGTAGAAGAAACAGCTGAGAAAGCAGTTAAAATGTGGTACTTCAAGTATTTCCTATTTTGATGACAAGATTTAGTTAGTACATGAGTTAACCTAAAATTCCTAAGAAAAAATAGTTACAAGAAGTACAGAATCTCAATGCAAAATAATCAGTACACACAGACTGCTAAAGAAGAAAATGGACAGAATGTTGGCAATTGTTCCTGATGGCTAATGTTATGATGAGGGAACAAAATTTCTATTTATTTATATTTAGGGATGGAAAACACAAGCAGGTATAAAACTTTCCAATTCATCTGAGTCTACCATGTGTCTTCATATTCCCTCTCCCTTCTTTATGGTTAGCAGTTTTCCAGAAGTTCTAACTCCCCAAGGGAAACTGACTCTAAATAGAGTTAGCAAGTTTGTTTTCACTGTCCTAATAGGAAGTAAGGAGAAGAAACTATCTCTGTACAAATAAGAGAGAACCAAACATTTGTTTTTAAGAGCTGAACTCGCATCATTAGCATGGAAAAGACAGGTGGAAATGATTTTCCACTGATAAAAAGCTTACCTTCCAGAAAAGCAAATTCATCCACAGCTTCTATTGCATTATCTGAAACACAAGGAAAAGGGACACTTGACTGTAGTCATTTGGCAATCAGCTCCAAATTAGCACAATCCACACAATGAAGGGGATAAGAATTTATACAGATTTAGGCATTTATACAATATGTCCCTTGCTGTCTTGAGATCTATTCTGTTCCATCACTAAATCTTACATATGGCTGCCTAATAGAGTAAAGTCAAGTCCTGGCAAAGACTGTTCAATGAGAAGGGGAAATGGGAATCCTCCTACCATGTTGCTTTACTCTTGAATTTATTCTCTTTGCTCTGAAAGTTATCAGAGAAGAGTTTGGCAATATAGCAGGGAGTATAAGATACAGTATTTGAAAACTTCGGACATGTGCAAGGGTTAGCAGCTAGACAGAGGGTCAGAAATCAAACACCTGCTTTGCCTTCTCAACCTGCAAAGGGGAAGCTTAACCCAGCCCTCCATTGTCTACTGCCAGATACTACAGAGACACTACCCAAATCTCTCCTCTGAAGGGTTTTCCTCTTTCCTTGTTGAGCACAACAGTAGGCATCTTTTGCAATGGTCTCCACAAACAGTTCCTGTCAAACAAATGAACAAAGTAAAAAATCAACGGACTCCTGGTTTTGAAAGAAAAGAAGGTGAAGGGCTCAAGCAAGTGGGGAGGTTCTGAAACTTAAGACGGTACTGGACTTCACTAAGGTCATTCCAGTACCTCTTCCCCCCTACTCATAAATCCACCGTGTTCCTTTACTAGACTGCTACAAATTGTATGTGAGCCAGGAGAGCTGCAAATTAAAGTTGATCTCTGCGCCCTCGTAAAGTAGTTAACAAAGCAATACAACCCATGAAGGTGCGTGACCCTCTTCTCCAGCCTTCCCTGATTACACACGCCTCAGACTGCAGCCAAACACCCCTTTCACTTTCTGGCTCAGCACACCCCGCCCAGACCCTCTTCTTCCTCCTCCCCAAATTCCGCCCAAGCCGCCCCCAAGCCCCGCCCCCGGGAAGCCACGCCCCCCAGAACCACGCGCCCTAGTGCCCTTGCGCTCCCGCCGCACCGCGGCTCGCGCCAGAATGAAGATGGCTTCCTGTCCGGCTAGCGTCACGTCGGGGTCCGCCTTCACCAAAGCCTTCACTCGTGCCAAAGGCAGCCTCGAGAGACGAGCCCCCGGAGCACTCGTCGGAGCTTGAGCCTGTGAGGCCGCTGCCTCCCCTCCAGGCCCCTCCTCCTCCCGGGGCGCCCCGCTTCCAGCCGCTGCCGCCATCCCGGCCCTGAGCGTGCTGCGCGCGGCCACCGACTGTGAGCGCGCATGCGGCGCCGGCCCCTTTCCCGCGCGGGCTGGGGGCCACGCCCTCTTCGGACGCGTGGCTCCGCCCCTACGCGGCGAGGCGTGCCCGGAAGCCCAGCGGGCAAGGTTGTAAAACTGGTACTTGTGCGGTTCCTTTCCACCCACGTGATGGCTGTATTTCACCAGCTGTTCCTGGTGACCCTTCGACCACCTCCGGCTTAGAAGCGCCCAGGAACCGACCTTTTAGTCGAGTTAACTTGGTGGCTGTGCCAGGCTGGTGCTGGGAGGAGCGCCCTGGGGTGGAGGAACCCAGCCCCATCCTGGAGGCCTGGACATGCCCAGGTAGCCTAGGAGGGTGCAAAACCTAGACCAACTTGCAGGAGAGATCCAGCCTTAGTCGTGCTTGAAGGAGAGGTAGGACTTTCTCAGGCAGAAGTGGAAGAAGTGCAGTCCAGGCAGAGGAAACCACAAGAAGGTCTGGAGGCCGGAAAGCATGATGTTGAGGCAGTCACAGGCACCCACGTTTGTTCAGAGATTGCATCAGATCACTGGGTCCCCTTGTACTCAAAAAATAATAATAATGATCCAAAAAGCTTTTGTTCCTGTAGGTTATGCCAATATTTATTGTATTAAAATTAGTTTCATAATATTTTGGTACATTACACAATGATATAAATAACATTTTTATGACAAGTAACTTTGAAAATGAAAAATTTAGTGGGAAGTTTCTAATGTCCAGCTTAATAGAAGACAACTGGGTCATCTAGCTGCTTATATATAGTAATATTATCCATTTTTTAATAGCTCTGAGAAACTACTGCATCTCCTTGAGAAAGAAAGAAAAAGGCAAATAACCTCTTAGTATTAAGAAATAGTTTTTGGCTTCACCCCTGAAAAGGATGTCCAAGAAATCCCCTCTCCATCCCCTACAGGTTCCCATACATACTTCAAGATCTGGTAACACAGGAATATTTAATATTTGCAATAAAAGTTCTATGTCATAATAAATAAAGCTCACTTTTTGGAGCACTATGTGTGTAGTTCAAAGTGCTTAACATTTATGTAAATCACATAATATAATGTTCATGGTACCCTATTGAGATATTATTTTAATTTTGTTTTGTAGGTCAGGAAATTGAGGCACAGAATGCTTAATAATTCACCCACAGAAACTGCAAATTGGTGCTACCAATCTGGAAAGCACTATGGAGATTCCTCAGAAAACCTGGAATGGAACCACCATTTGACCCAGCTATTCCACTCCTTGGTTTATACCCAAAGGACTAAAAATCAGCATACTACAGTGACACAGCCAAATCAATGTTTATAGCAGCTCAATTCACAATAACTAAACTATGGAACCAACCTAGATGCCCTTCAGTAGATGAGTGGGTAAAGAAAATGTGATATATATACACAATGGAATATTACTCAGCCTTGAAGAAAAATGAAATTATGGCATTTACCATAATGGGTGGAACTGGAGAATACCATGCTAAAAGAAATAAGCCAATCCCAAAGAACCAAGAGCTGAATGTTTTCTCTGATATGCAGATGCTAATTTACAATGGGCGGGGGTGGTGAAAATAAAGGTATTTTGGACTAGACAGAGGGAAGTGAAAGGGGGGGAGTGGGCATTGGGGTAGGAATGACAGTAGAATAAATCACACATTACCCTATGTGCACATATGATTATATGTACAACCAGATGAACAAGAAGTTATACTCCATTTATGTATGATGTGTCAAAATGCATTCTACTTTCATGTATAACTAATTAGAACAAATTAAAAAATTATTAAAAAATAATTCACCTACAGAAAGATGTGAAGCCAAGAAGTGAGGAAGTAATGAAGCCAAGATAACATCTGGAATCAGTTCCAGGATTATGTAGTAAACTTTGCTGGATTAACACAGGCTACACTACAGCAGAATGTTAGTCTTCACCCAAAATTAAAATCTTCAGTAGGGTATGAGTCACCAACATTTAACCAAAACTTCTTTTAGAACCTCAGATCTGAAGGAGGCTGAGGCAGGAGGATCGAAAGTTCAAAGCCAGCCTCAGCAAAAGCGAGGTGCTGAGCAACTCAGTGAGACCCTGTCTCTAAATAAAATACAAAATAGGGCTGAGGATGTGGCCCAATGGTCAAGTGCCCCTGAGTTCAATCCCCGGTTAAAAAAAAAAAAAAGTTCTGAATTCTCTTCAGTTCACATTTAAGAAAAAGAAAAGGGAGAAAATAAAGATACAAAGGAAAAGTTTACTTTTAATTCAGCATTTTAAATTATTTAGGCAATGATTTCTGACCTTTTCACCCCACCTTTGACTGAAATAATATATTGTCTAGAAGGCTTTCCACAATGAGCTCCTTCCAATCTCTCCAGCTCTATTTCATACAACTTCCCTATCCTCTCTGCACCTGAACCACATCCTATTTTTCCAGGAAAGTTTTTCTCACTTTCCTGCAAATTCATCCTGTCTCTTTGTGGAGGCTTTCCACCACCAACCCACCCTTCCACAGGTGAGGTTACATTCCTCATACTACTGGGCTCTGTCCTTCTTAGAACTGATCACAGTTATAATCCTACATTTCCCTGTGTGATTATTAGATCAATGTTTGTCTCCTCTTCCTTCACCTCCAAATCAAAACCTCCATAAAGAAGGTGTTCCTGGGGGCTGGGGTTGTGGCTCAGTGGTAGAGGACTAGCCTAGCACATGTTGAGGCCCTGGGTTCGATCCTCAGCACCACATAAAAATAAATTAAAAAATAAAAGTAAAATACCTTTGTGTCCAACTACAACTAAAAAATTATAAAGAAAGAAGGTGTTCCCGTCTGATTTTGCTCATTGAGTCTTTTGTCTGGTACAGTATCTGGCACTTAGTCGGTGCTCAATACATATTTACTGGATGAATGAGTCATTAACAGTGACTCACCTGGACTTGATGTCTCCTAAAAAAAAGCCTGTTAGAATTGTTATTTGAAAATGCCTACCAAGAGCCTCTAGTAATTCCTATAATGGGTTCTGTCCTTCCCTCAATCCTTAGAATCACCCCCTTGAACAATTAATTTAGCATTTTCTTACTTATTTTATTTACTTTGATGGAGGGGAAAGGTAAAAGCATGAAAGAAAGAAAAATATCTTTTATAACTTAAAAAACAGAAAATAAGATAGATGCTTTTAATGACACCTTTGGGTCATTTTCTTTGTTTGTTTAGTCTCCTTGAATTTGCCCCACACTCTCATCTGTGGAATCTGGTAGTTTTTGGAAAAGTTTATGAGTAACCAGGAGTAGCAATCATGAAGAGCCAAACACTATCTTAAATCACTTCCAAAAAATTCCTTTTTAGTTCAGTGGTCAAGAATATTGGATTTTCTTATTCTCGAGAAATAATAGAATTATTGTGAAGTATATGTAGTATTTAAGAAGTGTTCAAAAGAGAGTATAAGAATTAAGGAAGTAGTAAATGTCAAGTTGTGTGATGTTTCAGTTATGAATTAAACTGTTATGTAGAAATATTTACCACATAAACAGTGTTAAGTATCATTTATTGTTTATAATTAGAAGCACTTTTTATGTTAAGTTTAATTCCAAGAGACTTATTATGATTATTTTTGAACAAATTTAACTTTGAAATTGTTCTTGTAGAATACCTATCCAAGCTCTTTCACCCCATCATGGGTCATGACATCTAGACTAAGGCCATGAAATTCAGGGATTTGTGAACCACAGCTATGATCACTTTGCCCAACACTGGAAGCTCCTAAGAGGCTGAGAGAATGCTGGTGGCATGCATCAATAACACAAATAACACTCTGGTCACTTGGAAGAGCAGTATGAAGTTTTACCTCCTGAAAAAGAACCAGAATTTCTCTGTGAACATACTGTAGATCCTTGGTGAAGCAGACAAGAGTCAATGCTGCTGAAACAATAGTCGCCATCTTTGATGGACACAGCCAGTCTACCACAAAGTGAGAAGAAATCTCATGAAGCATCCAGTAATTGTGAAGGTTCTTACACAGAAGACCTAAGGAGGAGTTCAAGGATATGGGACAGCCTCTGTGCTAGTGATCAAATAGAGGTAGGATTCATTAAACATTATAAGTTCTTTTCAGAAAGAGAGAAAGGAGAGAAGGAGAAAGTTTTCCAGGGAAGGAGAGAGAAAGGAGAAAAACCATAAATAAGCAGTGAATTTATTCCTACTGTAATCAGGCCTGACTTCCCACTAACATTATTTTTAGAAGTTGGATTTATTGGTCATGCTGATACAATTCAATAATTTTCTATAAGGGCACGACACCTGGTTCAAATCTTTCAAAATCTTGTTCAAAATCTTTCTTCTGATTTCAATCTGTAGTAAGAAGCCATCCATCTCTATTATACACAAATGCAGCATTCTCAAAGAGAACTTTGAAATTCACCCCTTTACTAGTTTCTGCCCTCTAGAGTAGAGGACTAGGACCAAATGGAACTCAAGCAGACATTAGGAGTAAGGGCTGGGTAGCAATTTTGTATCAGGCAGTCAATCATTTGGACACTATTGTGATAGCTTCAAATTATGTCCATAAATTCTTTGACACTCCTATTTCAAAAAGTGGAGTCTGAAATCCGTCTCCTCAAGTGTATGCTGGACTCCATGACTAACTTTTAATAATAGATAATATGGAGAAGTGACCTGTATGCCCTTCAAGATAAGATCATAAAAGGCATAATGCACAAGAAGATACAAGAGCTAATGTATGAGTTCACCAAGGTTGCAAGATTCAGGATCAATATAAAAAATCAATTGTATTTTTAAACAACACAAATAAACAGTCCAAAATTTAAGAAAATAATTCTATGTATAATCACATCAAACAAAAAAATTCTTAAAAATGAATTTAACCAATCAAGTGCAAAATCTGCATATTAATCTTTTATAGTTAGGAATTTAAAGAACATCAAATAACTTGGAAGATACCCTGTGTTCGTGAATTGGAAGGCAATACTGTATAAATTGATCTAAGATTCAGTACAATCTC